GGCTGGATGAGGGGCTGCACTGGATGAGGAACTGCACGGGGTGAGGGGTTGTGCTGAATAAGAGGCTGTGCTGGATGACAGGAGGCTGGATGAGGGGCTGCACTGGGTGAAGGGATGTGCTGGCTGAGTGGGGTCTGCATGAGGGGCTGTGCTGGATGAGTGCTCCTGGCCAGCTTCTTGTCCTGTCTGGCTCTCTGGAGGGAATGCTCCTGCTCTGCTTCCCAGGCTCTGCACCCAGAGCATGCAGGCTCCTGGACAGGGCACCTCAGTGTACCCCAGCACACAGCCAAAGGCATGCTCTGGGACAGAGACCCTGCCATGCTGCCCACTCTGGGAGACACCCCAGGTCCTGCTGTGGGGCCGTGGGGGATGAAGCTGTGAAGCTGCTTAGGTCACTACATGGCTCTGTGCCCGCAATGACCCCGGTGAAATGGCTGATCCCCAGGAGATGCTCCTGCAGATAAGGGGGTCCTGTGCTGCCCTGGCTCACTCCTGCACACCTTCCTTGGGGAGGGTACCCAGTGCAGGGCACCCAGTCTGTCTCTGGCATCGCAGAGAACTCCAGGCACATCCAAGAGTCTCCATGCTGGGGACTCTGCACAGGAACAGGACTGTGGCACCTGCCCATGGCCCAGCTCACCACAGCACTAACAGCCTCACCACACCAGGGATTGTGCACTGCCAGGGCCTCACAGAGGCTCAGCCATGCAGGGATCCATCCCCAAAGCTTGTACCTTCCTGAAGGAGAAGTAAATCCTGCCCATAGCAGCGCAGGGCTGAGCTGTCCTGGGTCTCTGACCCTGCCCACACTCCCTCTGCTCTGTGACTGATGAATACAAAGTGTTGCTCCACTGCCTCTGAAGCCAAGGGCACCCCAAGGTTATCTGCCTGCATGAGCAGCACCAAGATGAGACAAGGAGGGAGATGGAGAGCAGTGTACCCTTCATCCCCACAGCCAGCCCTGCTGCAGCCTCAGCCATCCAGAGCAGCCCAAATCCACCCCACTGGCAGTCACACCTCGCAGTCCAGTGGCCAGTGGCAGACCGTGGTGACATGGGACCTCTGGCTGCCAGGCAATACGTTAAGATCTACAAGAGGGTCCGTGTGGAACCAGCACAAGGCTCCCTCATTCACAAGCACAGGGCAGCCCCCAAGGTCAGTGCCCATAGGGAGGATGGGTCTGACACCCATGGTGCCACAGACACTCTCAGCCCACAGCTGGAGCAAGACAGAGGCAGAAGCCAGCAGATAGCCAAAGGTGTGTCCCCTGCAACAAGCACCTACAGGCCATATCTACAGAGTACTGGCCCCAGGATGGGTGTGAAACCACAGGCTGTGCTCTATCCAAACTGATGTGACTACAGCCACCCTAGGAAGGCCAAAGCAGCACTGTCAGGAGGCCAAATACCTCATCGGGCTCTGGGACAGCTCAAACGTCCAAGTTATTTATTTTCTGCTGTGCTGAAACAGGAAACCTCCAACATGTTCAAACCCTGGACCCTTGCCAGAGTCAGGGGCACCTCAACAGTGCAGCAGGAGCTGGACACACATCTGGCAAGAAAACATGAGCCCTGGGAGTGCTGGGTTGTGCCCATCTGGCAGCAGATGCCCCTGGCCCCATGGGTGGAGGGACAGGGGCTGATGGGGGTCCCAGAAGGAGGGACTCTGCTCAGCAGCCACCCCTGCTCCATGTGGAGTCATCCATCAGCAATGACACCTCAGTGCCCAGTTCTCACTGGGGTGCTGAGATCTGACCCAGCCTGTCCCACCACGGACCACCAGGAGTCTCACAGGGTGTCCCCACAGACCCTGGGTCACAGGAAGCCGCTCAGACTGACTGGTGTAAACTGAAGAGCACTTCTGAAAGCAGCAGGACTGTGGCTCAGGGCCTCTGCAGTTACAGACTATGCACTTTTCTCAGCTCCCTGCTCCAGGAACACCCAGATCAAGCTGGACACTTCCCACATGCTGGGAGAGCAGCTCATTCTCTCAGAATGCCCAAAGAAGACCCAGCTGGCTGAGCACCACCAGCACTGCTAGCAGGGAAGCATCTCCTGGGATGTGGGGACACGATCCAATGCTAACCAGACTGGCTGTAACCCATGTTCCACTCCATCCACCCCCACTGTGCCAGGTGAACAGGAGCAGGTGAAACTCCTGCAGAGCCCCAGTCCGGGCAGGACTCCCCTCACAGGCACGTACCCCGTGGTGATGTCATCGTCCTCCGTCAGCGTCTTGCCCATCAGGTCACTGTCACTCATGTACCCCGATTTCAGCTCCACGTCGTCGCTGTCCAGCGCCTCGACCAGCTCCAGGCGGGAGATGTGGCTGAG